GAATTGAAGCGTAGCTGGTGAACTCGATCAGATATGCCCGTCCTTTGCAAATCCAATCACCGAATTCGTAGGGGTAGATGAAATCGATTATAGCATAAAGCTCCATAGGAAGACCTGAAATTTTTCAATAATTTTACTCATATTTTTATAAAAGGAAAGGTACTATACCTAGAAATAGGACCAGCAAATCGGAAAGAGCAAGGCTAAGTAAGTAGTAATTCGTATGCGTGTGCATGGACTTGTTGCGAATGATCACCAGGCAGGTGCAGATGTTGCCAACAGTGCCGACGATGAAGATTATCGAATATGTGATGACAGTCGGAATCCAGATTGCGTCCTAAAATATACTTATATATTATTGAAAACAACTTATTCAGCTCTTTTTTTTTGAAAACATTAGATCGCAGAAACTCACTGATTGGCAGCGACTGCCCATAACGTTCGTCACATAGGATGTGATGTTTTCCAAGTCATAATGAATAGGACTACACGGCATCTGTAAAGTGTCTATAATTAGCAGTGAGATGGACTATAGCTGACAAGAGTACAATAACGAAAACGACAAAATCGCGGGGCTATTCCGGTTACTTTGAGGCAGAAATTAAGGCATTCTTATAGTAGTCGAGATAGCGTTCAAATAAGATAATTCAAACGAGTAGAGAGGAAAAGGTTTGCTAAAGGGATGAGAGACAATTTCAGCAATTCTTTATAAGACTTGCAAAGAGTTTTTGCCTGAATAAATCATGAGAAACAATGAAGCTTCAAATAGAGATCCAAATCATATTGACAATCTTATGTGAAAGCGTCCTACGAAAGAAGAAGCGTTAGCTATATGAAACAGGGTGGACGAAGAAACCATGAAAAATTTGATTTGGTGCCAGTCTGTCTCATTGCAGAGAAGGAAGATAATGAATAGGCATTATTTTGTCTTAAGGCATGCATCCCTGCATTCAATGAACATAAAAACTTCTTCAACGAATCGCACCCGCGGAAAAGGTGCTACACGATTGCAAGGAACCAACAACGACCAGGTCTAAGCGATAAATGGTTGAAGCAAACGCTCAAACTTTGTTTATAAAGCAAAGTGTAGCTTAGTGAGGTGGCGTGATAAGCTCCTTAGGCAAGCCGTTGCGCCATACACAGATAGTTTTCTTAGAAAAGGTCTAGAAATAGGGGATATTATGATTAAAGTGGAACCTGCAAATCCTAATCCAACGATATGCATAAACACAATCGTCCATATACGGCAATTGAATAATTGAGCTAGATTTATTCGTGCTCCGCCTTTTTTTTTAAACCAAATACATATAAGTCCTTTTTGGGTACAATAACGAGAATAGGGACTAAAGGAAAGAATTAACCAGTTAAATTGCTTTCAGGACAACTTTCTACCTAATCA